TTTCCCACAGAAACATTCAAGCCAAGACCAAAAAATAAATAAAAGACTTCTTTCTAAACCTGGACAAGATCTACACCTAAAAAAACCAAACAGACTGATCTACATAGGCTCTCAATCTCAGAACAGGCACCCATTCTGGATAGTTCCCCTGCTGCCAAATTTTATGACATCTTCACTTCACCTTCTTCGCCCACAGGCCCAAATTGAGGAAGCTGTAAAATCCTGGGCAAACACAGCCATTTGCTAAGAGAAAAAACAACATGGGGCCCATCTGTACTTTACAAGGGCTCTGCTGGTCCTGCCTCTGTGTGTCCCCATTTTCAGGGCTGCCCGCCTCCCTCAGAGCACCTGGCCGCTCTTGGAGGCCTTCGCTGGGTTTTCAGTATCTTCCTGGAGAAAACATTTTTTTTTCCCCCCAAGAGTCAAAGAGAAGTCCTTCAAAAACTGACTGATGCTCTTCCTTCATGGTCACCATAGGGTACTTAATGTTACCTACTTACAGCCCACAGGACAAGCAGCTCTCCAAGGGCAGGCCTTGTTGGCTCCTTGCTGCCCAGCCAGAGACCTTCCACATAGCAGGCCCTCGATAAACAGAAAGGAGCCTCTCCTCTGAGAGAAACCCCAAAGCCAAAGCAGTGGGGGTGGGGGGGAACCCTGAAATCATTATCCAGCGCTGACCCAATACCCACAGTCTTGATCTATGATAAGTGAGGGAAAATACCATGTCATGCCTTCGAACCACAAAAGATTTCCATGGAATTCAAGAAGTTCCTTTACCAGCTCTAATTTTAGGCAGAACTTAGGAGGATATAGGTGCCAACAGTGGCGGGGGGCAGTGGAGAGGAACTGAACAAGGCCCTTATTCTGCTCGGCACAGGTGCTGGTAACAGGACACCTCTCTCTACAGTGAGAGGTGGGGTAGGGATATTGAAGGTGTGCTTCGGTGCTTTTCACCCCCCAGTCCCATTACATAACCCCCAACACACTCTCAAACCTAGTACAAAGTTCTCCCTGCATCAGGCCCAATTCAGCTCCTGACATGCTGATTCTTGAGCAACAAGGCCGAGGAAAATATTTGGTTTTAGCATCCAACTTTAAAAAAAACACCAAAAACCTAAGTTAATTATTTAAAGAACAAAGATATCCAGAGTGACTTGCCCTTGAGTTTAGCCAGTCTCCTGGTCTTAAAAGCTCCCCAAACATCATCAAATTCTTTGCTGGTTCAATTACTTAAACATTAAAAAAAAAAAAAAAAATCAATCAAAATAAATTTAAAAACTACAAGTATCAAGGGGCACCTGGGTGGCTCAGTCGTTAAGCGCCTGCCTTCGGCTCAGGTCATGGTCCCAGGGTCCTGGGATCGAGCCCCACATCGGGCTCCCTGCTCCGCGGGAAGCCTGCTTCTCCCTCTCCCACTCCCCCTGCTTGTGTTCCCTCTCTCGCTGTATCTCTCTCTGTCAAATAAATAAAATCTTTAAAAAAAAAAAAAAACTACAAGTATCAAATCACTGTGTTGCATATCTAAAACTAATATAACGTTGTATGTCCATTATATCCCAAAAAATTTTTTAAAAAAGTCATGGCTCAAATCTGCTGTTTGCAGCATTTAGCCTGCTTTTCTTGGCACTTGGATAGAAACTCCAAAAAGATTCTAGAACCTCGTCAATGTCTAACCATTGTCAAACATCAGAAGCCGGTCAGTTGGCCTTCCATAGTCACCCGCAAGCTACTGCTCCCCCAGACAAACGGGTGATGGGCCCTCGCCTCCAGCCACGTGAATCTCTGTCTCCCCTTCCCTTTGGGACCAGCTCACACCAGACAACTTGATTTATGTGCATGGGCGGAAAGGCAGCCAGTAAGCGATTCTGCACACCACCGTCATTAGTGACCACCACCACAGGAGGGTGGAAGACAGGGGAAAACACACAAGGTTTCCTCTCGTCAAGGAATCAATAAGTTATTTAACAGCTGCTGCTGGATCCCAATGGAAGAAGAGCAAGGGTTTCTTCCGCACCCTTCCCCCTGAAAAGGACAAAACGCACACCCTGACCGCTGAGGATTTAGCCAGATGAAGGAGCACTAGAAAAAAGCAGGATTCCTCTCCAGCTTTTCAATGTCTTGAGGTTTTTGGTTTTGGAAGATGTATGGTGTTAGGCCTTGAAATTACTCCATTTTTTTTTGTTCTTTTCTTTTTTTTTCCTCCTCCAAAGAGGAAACTGACTCCCTTCCTGTGTCGCTGTACATTTTGGAGAATCAAATGCTACTAAAAAATTTCCTTACCCTTTCCTCACCCCAGTCCAGCATTACTTCTGGAAAAATAACCTAAAAATTTTCTCAAGATGGCATTCCAAATGGGTTTCCAACATTTACACTTGTCCTTCAAAGCAAACAGGGGACCAAAGACATCAGAAACCCATCATGGCAGTTCAAAGAGAAAAAGAGGATAAACTGGTCATTAGAAAGCCAGCTGACTTCAGATATTAAAAGACTGACTTTTATTGGTGGTGACTTCATGCATTATGCATACTACGCACTGCTTATCCTATATGCCCCCAATTTTTTTTAATTCCCTTTTAAAATATCACTGCCATCCAACCCACAAAGAAGTCTTTTAAAAAAAAAAACTCCATTAAAATATTCAACAACTGTCTTCTGCGTAAACAATCTTGGAAATCAGTCTACGCCTTTCTTTTTCCTTATCTCTCTCTACTCCCCAAAAGTCTGGAATCCTGCAGACCCCGAGGCAAATTTTAGTCTTCCCCTCCAGTTTGCTTTTCAAATCTTTGCCAAAACAAAACAAACAACCTTAAAATAAATGCCTTCCCACAGGATGTTGAACAAACCCTACTAAATTCAAAGGGAAAGAAGTCAGGAACCACAAACTATAGATCCAGCATTGAAAGGGCATTAAATAAATCCTTATTTTTAACTGGCGTCTTGCAGAGGGAAAAACATGCCACCTTGGCACCCACAAATCCCCCTGGCCAGAATGCTAGAGGGCAGCCACAGGATGGCAGGCGGAAAATAGGGGGCCCATCCTGTGGTGGGCTACCTTCTGAAAGGCTTTGGGTTCAAACTGCTAAATGCAAAGAACGGAGACTGGAGGGATTATGGATTAAGGAACAAAGAGAAAAAAAAAAACTCTAGATTTTTTTTTTTCCTGGGTCTGCAGTGGGCAGAACTTTTAGGTCACTGGGTCCTTGTTACTACTCAGGGACTGGAAACATCCATTTCTCTTCAAAAAAAAAAAAAAAGAAGAAGAAGAAGAAAAAACCGCAAGCAGCTTTACCTGCCCATCTCAAATTCTTCCCCTGGTGATCAAAATACACATGTGCCTCAAACCAAATCTTTGATTATAAGGCGTACAGAATTTAAGTTAACAAGAAATACCCCAGAGTCCGAGGCGGGGACACCAATCTTTGTCTCAAAAGAGCACTTCAATAAGTCAATGTGAATTGAGGGCAAAGGAATGAAAGAGGCTGTCTTTGAACAGGGAATAATCCATCTAATTCCAAGTGGCTGGATTAGAGGCATTCCTGGACAAGCAGGGTCTAGCTGAAGATAATGCTACACGAATGTCAATTTCTCACACACACAAAACAACAACAACAACACAGGCTCTGTAGAAGGAGGGCTAAGACCAGGATGGAGGCACCTTGGAAAAGTTCACCCTTGGGGAGATGGCAGTTGCTTCTAAAAGGGGGAAGCAGGCGTGACAGCTGAGCATTCCTTCACAAAGTCCATCTCCCAGGCCAAACCCTCTCTAAACCTTACACTTCATCAGACAAAAGCTCCTCCAAACGCCCAGTCAGCGGCTGAAGAGGGGCTATCCACACCCACCGGCTGTACAGCTTTCCAAACCTGCCTACTCGTTTTGGAAGCCGAGCTTTTAATTAAACACCACCTCCCCGGATCTGTTGAGGCAAACTGGGGCTGGGTTAAAGCCAAAGAGAAGCTCCCTAAATACACATGAAAAAAAAAATCCCCCCCACCGCCCCCAATTCCCACCTCCAGCCAGCTCGCGAGGCTGGTTATATTTCCTTTGGATGAGTAACACAGGGCCCTGGTCTATCTCTATGCACCAGAAAATCCACATCCAAGGATCAGGTTATCCCCAGTCCCACCCTTTGCAGGAAAAAAAACCAGGGTGTTGTTCCCCGCCCCCAATACACACGCGCGCGCGCGTGCGCGAGCACACACGGACACACACACACACCACACACACACACACAATATTCACAATCCTTCCAAGAGAAAACCTGGAGTCTGTGTGTGGTAGGGGGTGGGGGGGGTGGAATACAGTTCTTTAGGGGACTCCAATCTTGCCTTCAGGCTGGAGCCTCAGCCAGTGTGGAAGGAGGGTCCCCAGCAAGGCTACTCTGGGAACTTCTGCTCCGCGCCCCCGGGGAGGGCTGAGAAAGGCATGCACACCCTCACCAGCTTAGGAACAGCCTAATTAATGCCTAATTTGCTCAGATCCCCCCCAGGTGGACCTGAAAGCCAAGGAGGGAGAGGAAGGCCTCGCTCTCAGGCTCTCGGCCAGGGGTGGGGGGCCAGTTCCCGGGGCCGGGCAGAGCCCCCATACCCCTCCCCACCACCGCGCCAGGTGCCCCCACCCCGTACTCGGGGGAATCAGGTGTCCGCCCAGGCACCCAGTCTCCACGGGTCGCAGACACTCCGTTCAGCGACAGACAATGGAAAACTTGGAGCCGGGGCCCTGCGCCCCCAGGGAAACGAGATGGTGCCGCCCCCTGGGACAATGAGCGTGGAGAGGGCAGGGGGCATCAGACACCCCCAGAGAAGCAGCCCGCCCGCTGACCCAGCAGAGCCCGGAGCGGCGCCGCGGGTGAGCAGGTGACACCGGGCCGGAGCGCTCCCGCAGGTGGCCGCCGGCCGCGGCGCAGGTAAGGGCTGGGCGGCTGGCCCGGGGCGGAGGCGAAGCACCGCGGCGAGGTCAGTGCGCGGCCGCCGCCACCGCAGCCGCGCCCCCGGCGTCCTACCTTCATGTCGCTGATGATGGTCTGGAAGAGGCCTCCGAGCGCGCTGCATTCCTTCTCAATCACAGCCTCCATTTTCCCGGCGCCGGCAGGGAGAGGACACACACTCGGGGCCGCCTGGGCTGTGCGCGGGGCCGGGGCTCGCTCACCCGCGAGCAATTCCACCCTCCAAGCGACCCACCTCCGACTCACAGCCTCTTCTGCAAAGAGGACGAAGTGCCCAAGATCGGCTGTTCTCTGCCCCAAATAATAACAATAATTTAAAAAGCCAAACCGCCCTGCAGGGTGATTCGCCTACATGCAGTGCTCGGCTCCTGGTCTTAAAAATGCCCGGAGAAGACTGACAATCAGGCCACCACTGGTGCCCACGACGGAAACAGCAAAGCCCATCTTGAAGCAGAGAAAACCGCCCGCTGACCTGGGGCCAGCGCCATTTAAAAATGCAAGATTTTCTAATTTAATAATATTTTTGAAATTAAAAAAAAATCGCCCAACAGCAGAACGCGTCTGCTCGCGGCGTCTGGATCTGTTGCTCGCAGCCGCGGCCGCCGCCTCCTTTTCACTCCTGCGCGCCCGGCCCCGGCGCTCGCTCTGGCGCGGCTCCCGGGGACGTTCGGAGGGGCGCACGCGCGCTCGCGGC